TCTGACTCATTAAATTATTGTCATTTGGGTACTTTTTTTATGGATAATGTAATTAAACATTTTGCTATACTCCACAGAATCCATATTGGATGTTTACACCTTTTATTTATTACATTATCAATATAATACATGTTTTTATAATGTACTTGAATTATAACTTTAAACTCACTGATAACAATGCTCAGTATTAAAGATAACTTGTATAACTAGTGGAACATATTTCACAGACAAGGAACTTATTTCACCAGGTAAGGAACAAATCTCACAAACCCGGAACTTATTTCACTAGGTAAGGAACAAATTTCCCAAACCCAGAACTTATTTCACTAGTTAAATTGTGGAACTTATTTTATAGAGATTGAACAAATCATATAGAAATTATCTGTGAAAAAAGTTCATATAGAATATATTTCCTGTGATATTTGTTCCACTGGAACTTTTTTCACAGGAACAAATTTTGGCTCACATATTCACAACTATGCTATATATTATAGTTAGACTTGGGAGGATAAAAAACTTTAAAATGTTGTAATGACATGTCCATTGAAGAAGACCGTAGATTGAACTTTAGAAGTAAATTGTCACGTTTTGTTAGTTGCTTAATTGGGTTGCTGTCTAAATTAATTGTGCATACTTCACATCTCCTTAAAAATCATTCATAGAAATTAAACATTGCTTAAAATATGTTAGCATACATGTATAAATGCTTTTTTCGTCTGAGAGTAGTTTTTTTTTCTTCTTATATTCCCTTTTAGATATATTTTTAGTCTTCTGTTCTTCAACGTCTGCTATCTTGCTAGGAAGAGCTAGCTAGGTAGATCTAGACATCATCCAACTTAGCCCAACGATCTTGGGGTGTGTGCGGGGGCACTTATTATGTAATGAGTGGAAGAGATGAGTCGCTGGGATAGATCACTATTTGAAGCTTCATGATATTGCATGAGGTCGAGAAATTTAGGTGAAATTTAAGACAAGGTTGATGATTGAATCTGAAACTAATCAGATGTCGATATTTTTTTTACAGATGCAATTAAAATCACCAGAGATTGTGTATATATGTCTCTAAAATCACTTTCGTAAATGTTTAAGATATTTGTCAAATCTATTTACTAGTATCTCCCCATGAAATAGCGTAACAATGATAGCTATGTGCAGGTATATATACTTATTGTAAAAAATATATGATAGCTAGGGTAACTACATGTATGTTCTATTATCATTCAATATATATATATATATATAAAGGGTGGGGTATTGGATGTCTCAGCTGCTCACCCCTGCCATAGAAAGGTCGAAGTACCGCCGCCCCCGCCCCCTGAGATAAAATTCTCGTGTTAATTAATAATAATCGAAAAGAAATTATTTGATATCTCCGTTTTAAAAATGTTTGTGTTGCCTTTAGATTATCTTACTGAGTATAAATAAATATAACCTAAGAAAAAAACATTTTCCTAAAAGTTTTCTAATGTTTTCACGTATAAAATGTACGTAACAGTGAGCGACTGGATTGAAATAATCACGTGTGTGTTTACAAATCTTCGGGAGATTCGGCTATTATAGATAAGTGTTACCTGTGTACCGATATGCATGATTGGTAACCAGGCAAATCTATTTACTAAATTAAAGAGTTCAGATCCGACACTTTACGGGATTAAAAGACATTTACTACGTTTGAATTGTCCCAACCAATCAAAGAACTTTAATCATTACAGCGTGAGTAATATCTTCCAATCAGGTAGTAAGAAAGCCTTCAGCCCGCAGACTGTCTATCGTTCAACTCTTAATACCGTCTCCGAGGAGACGGTAATGAATATAGTGTAAACTCATTGAAAGAACAGATCAGATTAGGAAAATTTAAAAATTTGAAATTGTACAACATATCCTTATTTTTACATTGCTAAATAGCAAAAGTATTAATGAAGAACATAAACGAAAGTATAAGAAAATATTTTATTTCCATTAAATGGGCTCACAAAGACCATAATACAATATGACATTATTAAAACAACACAAAACAATAATGAAGTATGCATACAAAGAAAAGAAAAAGAAGTTTGAACATGAATGAACAACGCACACATGAATATAAAGTATATAAAATGAATAGAGAACATCATGTTTCCCGATAGTTTGAAATTATACAACACACATTGTAAAATGAGCATTTTCGTCAAACATTTCATGGCTCCTTTTGAAGGGAACGATTTTATATTTGGTCTGCAGCTTGATAGAGCTGAGTTGTAGCGAGTAAGCTATGTTCACATCTGCCGTTCAGCCAATTCCTATTAGCCGACATTTGAAATTTACAATACAATACTCGTTGTACAAAAAATATTCTTGTCAAAGTTTTCTTGGCTTCTATGAAGGAGACTGGTTTAATATTTGATCTGCATCTTGATAATGTTGATTTGTAGCGAGTAAGAATTTTTACATCTGCTGTTCAGCCACTTCCTGTTTGCGAATAGTTTGAAATTTTACAATACTCATTGTACAAGGAAAATTCATGTCAAAGTTTTCTTGCCTTCAGTGAAAGGGAATGGTCATTTATGCTCCAGTATACATGCAACCTCAATCAATTACATGCAGCGACGCAGGGACAGACCCGGTATTGGTCTTGTTTATCATGATGTGAACAAAAATATATCAAATGATAGAAATAAAATACATTTCTGCACCGATATATACAAAAGTATCTTAAAGGACTAAAGAATGATCTAGCCCCAATTGCCCTAAATATAAGTCTACCTCTTGATTGATTGGTTGTTATTTGCGTCCAATGGCAATTATTACAAAAATTAATATAAAGGAGAAATGATTAATGATTTAAATATGATATTCCAACAACTTCTGAAGATTTTAGTCGAAATAAACTTAAATTGTTACTGATCCAGGTAGAAATAACCAGTACATCAATTAACGAAAGCTCTGTGACAATTCTTTATGCTAAGAATTAGAACAATTTCGTAAAAGCTGCTATAATTTCATTTAAAATTATCTTCACAATATTAATATTCTGATTTTTTATGATATATTGTTTAATTAATTTCAAATCGAGGAATGATTTACAAAAAGATTAAGGATTAACCTTATAAAAATGTGTTAAAAAATTCTTAGAAAATCAAGACCAAACTTGTTTTATCCATTAATGCTGTTGACTCACATGAAGTTTAGTCGATTATTTGAAAATTATTAACCCTGTAGATTTACATATGGTATATAGGTATTTGGAAAATGTTGTTTGTGCTGTATTTAGACCCCTCTAACAAGAAATTTGTTTTGCATGCACACGTATAAAAATTGCGGTTTTTATCCAACGCAATCATAGGTTTGAACGTTGTTTTCAATTTAGACTTGTTTATATTTTTTCGTTTGGGCTTGTATTATATTTGCCTTCGGGTTTATATGATCCGTTCATCCTATTTTGACTCCTCAAAATTCAAGAGTCTATCCTAAATTGAGGTAAATTGTATGGCTTTCCAAATACCGTTTCGATTCCTTACATCACTGAAGAGACATTAATTGTCGAAATCCGGATATGGTGTACAAAAACCTTTGCACCTTTGTTTGCGGTATATCATCTTTTCCGCAAGTTTATTGTTTTCTGTTTAGTATTAAATTTATAACTAAGATCCATTTATTACATCTGGTGATCCGTTTATTTGGCAATCGCCAATGGCATTCAGCAGGGTTTAAGAACATTTGTTGTTCGACCTGTTAGTCAAATGCGTTTTGTTAAAATATACTTTTTCACTTTTTTGGTCTTTTGGAAAATGTTGTTTGTGCTGTATTTAGACCCCTCTAACAAGAAATTTGTTTTGCATGCACACGTATAAAAATTGCGGTTTTTATCCAACGCAATCATAGGTTTGAACGTTGTTTTCAATTTAGACTTGTTTATATTTTTTCGTTTGGGCTTGTATTATATTTGCCTTCGGGTTTATATGATCCGTTCATCCTATTTTGACTCCTCAAAATTCAAGAGTCCATCCTAAATTGAGGTAAATTGTATGGCTTTCCAAATACCGTTTCGATTCCTAACATCACTGAAGAGACATTAATTGTCGAAATCCGGATATGGTGTACAAAAACCTTTGCACCTTTGTTTGCGGTATATCATCTTTTCCGCAAGTTTATTGTTTTCTGTTTAGTATTAAATTTATAACTAAGATCCATTTATTACATCTGGTGATCCGTTTATTTGGCAATCGCCAATGGCATTCAGCAGGGTTTAAGAACATTTGTTGTTCGACCTGTTAGTCAAATGCGTTTTGTTAAAATATACTTTTTCACTTTTTTGGTCTTTTGGAAAATGTTGTTTGTGCTGTATTTAGACCCCTCTAACAAGAAATTTGTTTTGCATGCACACGTATAAAAATTGCGGTTTTTATCCAACGCAATCATAGGTTTGAACGTTGTTTTCAATTTAGACTTGTTTATATTTTTTCGTTTGGGCTTGTATTATATTTGCCTTCGGGTTTATATGATCCGTTCATCCTATTTTTACTCCTCAAAATTCAAGAGTCCATCCTAAATTGAGGTAAATTGTATGGCTTTCCAAATACCGTTTCGATTCCTAACATCACTGAAGAGACATTAATTGTCGAAATCCGGATATGGTTTACAAAAACCTTTGCACCTTTTGTTTGCGGTATATCATCTTTTCCGCAAGTTTATTGTTTTCTGTTTAGTATTAAATTTATAACTAAGATCCATTTATTACATCGGTGATCCGTTTATTTGGCAATCGCCAATGGCAGTCAGCAGGGTTTAAGAACATTTGTTGTTCGACCTGCTAGTCAAATGCGTTTTGTTAAAATATACTTTTTCACTTTTTTGGTCTTTTGGAAAATGTTGTTTGTGCTGTATTTAGACCCCTCTAACAAGAAATTTGTTTTGCATGCACACGTATAAAAATTGCGGTTTTTTTATCCAACGCAATCATAGGTTTGAACGTTGATTTCAATTTAGACTTGTATATATATATATATATATATTTGTAGATAGCTGACAGTTTTACAATGAACGAGAATAGTACGATTGTCGAAGGTCTCAACTGCTTATTCAAGACATGGATTCCGCATATTATAACTGGATTTTTAGTGGTCTATATTACGTTTTCTGGTGTTCTTTATATGCGACAATTAAACCCTACGACCGTTTACGCAGAAAGCGAAATATCGCCTCGAACTGAACAACATAAAATGCAAACTGCACAAGAGAGACGGCCTCACATAGTATTAGGGATTTTAAGTGGAGAAAAGAAAATTCGTTTTCGGGATACTCAAAGAGAGACTTGGATTAAAACAATGCTAAGTTTACACAAGGTATTACCTTTCAAGATAACGTATAAATTTTTGTTAGACGAACCATCTTCTGAGTCAATTAAAGAAAATAATTTACACAAAGACATAGTGTATTTAAATGTATCCCACCATGGTCGAGCTGTTAAATTTGGTGAGAAAATGTACGTGTGGTGGAAATATATACATAAGGTATACCCAGACGCTCTAATGGGGGCAAGAATAGACGACGATGCTTTTGTATGTGTACCTCAAATGTTTCATAGACTAAATACTTTAAAAGCTGGAAATCTTTATTATGGTTGGAGACACGGGAAAAGTAGACAGATCAACAGAAACAACAGAATTGATGAAATGTTTTTAGTTTTAGGAAAAGATCTCATTTCGCTTGTTTCTAATAGGACTTATTGTGGACAAAGAAAATGCAAAAATAAGGACGACTTGATTGATATTGAATTTGGTGATACTTCTCTTGCAGAATGGCTGTCTGTTTACAGTGATAAAATAAACTTTAAAGCTGATAATGACCGAATTGTACAATGTGGAGCTAATTCTCATGCTATTTATAAGAGATTTTTAAAGCCTGGTTTTTGTGACAAACAATTAGTTTTTCATAAATCGACATGTGAAATGATGCAACAGCTACATTCATGGAATAATCACTCGGTCGGTGGATAGCTTCATTCATACAATAATCACGTGGTCGGTGGATAGCAAGACCAATGTTATTGGAGCATTTATAGATATGAATACTCATCAATAGAAATAGAAGACTGTTTTATTCCAATAAATGGCCCCAAACGGCATAAACATTTGACATGTCAATAACATCAATAATTCAAGATTTTAAAGCAATTTAACAATCATTCAATAAAATCAATTGATATTTTTTTTTTAATTCTTAATACATGTATATTAAGTAAATATTTAAGGAGCTTTAGATATAATAATACACAATGCAAGTTTGGCTGATGTGAGATTTATAAGACACCTGTCACCTGTATATAAAAATATAAATAGATAATATATATATATATATATATAAAGCTGTCGAGCACAGAAGGTTCAACATGTTAACAGTCCTTCCCGTGTCAGTAACAAATACGATAGCTGACACCAGGGAATGATATCTTGAGGACTCAGTGACATACTAAATAAATACATGTATGTGGAAATGTATCTATCCTACCTGAATCAAAAGCATAAAAAGTAGCAGCGTAGGTATAACTTGAATGCAGTTGACATCCGGGGACGATGCTACTAATAAATAAATTCACCCAAATTATATAATAGTAATCTTAAGGAAGATGCTTGTATATAAAATTACATATTATTTTTATAGAGTAAATCAACATTTACTACACTAAAAAGTCAAATGATTTTGTTTCGACTACATCGAATTATTAATATTTGAAATGCTAGACAACATATCATTTCTATCTTCTTTTTTTTGCAATCAAAAACAATATATGCCCCATCTTCCGACAGTACTTGAAGTACATGTATTACATATTCTGTTGTGTTGGGTATACCTTGTTGTCTACCCAGTTCTAATTTTATGTTTTATCCAACTATCAGACATTTAAAAACTGATATTTTTATTTAAAAATGAAAATGTTGCTACTGTAGTAGCCAAAACCTGCAACAACATTTTATTGAGAACCGAAATTTGATTTATATAAATGATATGTTTGCAGTTTACCGTCAGAAAATTTATCTAGCTGTTTTTTTCCCACCCCAATAGCTACGAAGGAACAATGTTGATAGCTTGGTTTGCGTATACTTCTTAAATTTGTAAAAGACTCATAAAAAATGTCTAGCATTTGTACAATCAATTCCAAGTAACTTCAACATAACATTTATTGAACCATGATGTTTTCTTCAACGATGTTTTGTTTTAGATTGTATATATGCATCTTTTAAAAAAGAATATTACCTCATAAATTCTGGTGTCTGTTCTATGGTCGGGTTGTTGTCTCTTTGACACATTCCCCATTTCCATTCTCAATTTTATCTAATACCAGTACGATGACATCCCTTGTTATAGATTGAAATAAATTAGAAATCTACAAAGTTCATATACCACTGCAGTATTTGTTGTTTTTGTGCAACCTTCAGTATAAATGCAAATTTCTTGTGAAGTCTATATATATATATATCTTTATTCTCACAAACCAAATTACAAAGGTATAGAGATAATTATACATATTTCAATACAATTACATAAATAAATAATGTACGAAAGTAGATAGAGGCATTCACAATTCTTCACCCAGAAAAGTTCAATTTGTTATTAATCTCCTTAATAAGTTTACATAGTTCGTTCAGTTCTGTACATTTTTTAGAATTCATTAAGTCATAAAACTTCAATGTGTTTGGTCTATTTCTATAGTAAAATGCAATACATTGTTTTCTACAGTTATCAAAAGCTGAACAATTAAAAATGTAATGGTATTCATCACCAATGGCATCTGAATTACACAATACACATTTTCTGTTTTCTCTTTCTATGTTTTGCCATCTTCCAGTTTCTATTGGAAATTTCATGTTCAAAGTTCGAAATTTAAAAAATAAGGATATCTGCCTGTCATCCAAAATATTTAAATATTTCTCAAACTCCAAAGTATCTTTAAATAAACGATAATTTAATGCTTTTGGTGATTCCTGTAGGCTTGCTTGCCATTTTTGTTTGAATTGATCTATTAAATTCTGTTTGATGGTTACATGTAGCCATGTTTTATTTACAAAATAGATATTGTTCCATACATATGACAAGCCACACGTGTCTAAAATTGATTTGACTTGTTTTAACCATAAAATATTTGTACCATATTTGACAGTTGCTAAGTTATACAAAATATAAGGCAATTTGTCATGTTTTCCAGTTACCAACTTGAACCAATAATTTATCATTCGTAACTTGATTGAAATATCTAATGGATATCTTCCCAATTCACCATAAATCATAAAATCAGGAGTAGACTTTTTTACTCCAAGTAATATTTTACAAAATTTAATATGAACCCTCTCGATTATTGAATTATTTCCAAAACCCCAAACTTCACACCCATACAGAAGTATTGGTTTCACAATTTTATCAAATAGATCAAGTTGGCATTCAATTGACAGATTATGTACTCTACCTTTTCGAATAATATCGTACAAAGCATGTGTTGCTTTTTCACATTGCTTTTTTTTAGCTCTTGAAAAATTTCCTGACCTAGACAGTAATACACCAAGATAAGTAAATTCACTCACAATATCTAGTATTATATTATCATACTTAAAAACAATATTCTGCGGTAGTCTACCTTGTGAAAAAATTACAATCTTACTTTTTTGCACATTTACTTTAAGTTTCCATAACTCACAATATTCATATAAGGAGTCCAGTTGTCTTTGTAAATCTATCTGAGATTCTGCCATTAAGACAGTATCGTCAGCATATAAAATGACAAACAATTTTAAATAAACATTTAACTCTATTTCTAACTCATCAGAGATAGTGCACAAACCTTCTATATTATTATTCTGTAAAAACAATTCCAGATCGTTTAGATAAATGGAAAAAAGCAAAGGAGAGAGATTCTCTCCCTGCCTAACACCAATGGAACAAGGGAAAAATTCAGAAAAATCTGATCCAAAGTGAATACGTGATTTGATATTATTGTACATGTTGACAATAACGTTATACATCTTTCCGTTAATCGAGTGTTTTATAAGTTTTGACCAGAGACCAGACCGCCAAACAGTATCAAAAGCTTTCGCAAAGTCCACGAATGCACAATATAGTTTCTTCTTTTTCCTCTTTAGCAACTCAAATAATATGTGAATAACAAATATATTGTCTACTGTGGAATAACCTTTTCTGAAGCCAGCCTGGTTTTCATTTAATAATAAATAATCCTCTAAGAAAGAACTCAATCTAAAATTTAAGACAGATGTGAAAAGTTTTCCCAGGCAGCTGAGTATAGTAATTGGTCTATAATTTTGGGGATCAGATTGGTCACCCTTGTTTTTATAAAAAGGTATAATATTTCCCATAAGCCATATTTCAGGTAAAGTACCAGAATCAAAAATCATATTAAAAAGTTTCACATAAACGGGTATAAAAATGTGTGATGTGCTTTTAATAAATTCATTGATTATTAAATCATCGCCACTGGCCTTTCCGTTTTTCAACTCTCGTATACACTTGCTAATCTCTTCTGCGGTAATTTCTGAATTCAAAACTTCATTTACACCTTGAATGTTAATCGGCTCAGTTGTGACGTCATTTGTATTCTCGGCGTTATTTAAATTTTTGAAAAAGTCAAACAGTACATCTAATGCTATGTTAGGTTTATTTCTTTTCCCTCCCCTATTTAAAATTTTCCAATATTCCTTCGGATTTTTTGTCCTCAGGTTTTTCATATGTTTTTGAAATTTTTTTCTATATTCCCTCATCGATTTATCCATCTGGCGTTTATATTCCCGTTCTTTCTTTTTCATTTCTTCCCTTTTTCTTTCTGATCTGTTACTGTTATAATTTCTTTTTGCTCCCCTGTAAATCTTTCTCTTATTCCAACATTGCTTATCAAACCATGGTTTGTTCCCCTTTTTGCCCATTTTTTTCCCTGTACGACTCCCTTGGCTAGCATTATATGTACCTAGAACATTATCTGCAGCATCCAAAAATATGCTGTTAATTTTTTCAACTACTTCGTTTATTTTGCCTTGAGATAAAAGGTTACTGTCAACTGAATCTAATTCGGCAACCAAATCTGAAATTTTGTCCTTATCAATAAATTCTACGAATTCATTCTTTTTCTCAACATCCCATTTTTGTACCCGTTTTACTTCTCTTGCATTTTCCACGCTGTTCTCAGCAATATGCACATCTTCCTCAATACCATCTTTAAACTTTAAAGATAATATTAATGGAGAGTGGACATCTGAGAACAGCTTGGAAAAGTCTTGAACATACATATTTACAACGAAACACAGAAAATCATAAGTACAAATAAAATAATCAACAACACTGGCCTGACGGCAAGTAAATTTGCCTTCTTTGTCACCATTAACTCTACCATTAAGGATAATTATATTATTGTTTTTACACATTTCTAACAACATGTTACCATAAGAGTTTTTACTTGTATCCATACTACATCTAACTTTAGACATATCATATAATTCTAGATTGTTTAAAATATCTACATTATCAGTATCAACAATATCATGCTGACTATGAACAATTTCAATATATTCTACATCTCGACTAGTTCTACTATTGAAATCACCATTTAAAAGTATATACTTGTACTCTACAGAAAATTTCAAAAATTCTTGTTCTAATTCATTAAAAGCATCAGGAACCTTATATACAGAATTTTCTGGAGTAAACCTGAATATATCTTTTCAAAAAAATACATCTCTCTTCTCACTTTTGGAGTAACGAGAGAAGTAAACATTACCCATTCTCACAATCAGATCTAAAACATGAATAGTTTTACTATTTGAAACACATTCCAGGTTCATATATTCTGAAATGTGAAATTCTGTTTAACATGTCTGCCTACTTTGTTGAAAATCAAAATCTCTGTTTTGTTAATTTTCACATTTAGAAACCAATCTGCAAAATTTATCAAAATAAAAATAAGAGATGTGGTATGATTGTCAATGAGACAACTATACACCAAAGTTCAAATGAATAGGATGTTCACAGTTATAGGCAATTGTACGGCCGTCAACAATGAGAAAAACCCATACCGTATAGTCGGCTATAAAAGGCCCCGCCATGAAAAATATGAAACAATTCAATTGAGAAAACTAACGTCTAATTTATAACAAAAGAATTTACGAAAAACAAATATGACAGACCGATGAGCCAACAACAACCACTGAACTACAGGCATTTGACTGGAGATATGCACATATAGAATGTGGCGGGGTTAAACATGCTTGAAGGCGATGGTGTAACGGCATAACAAAAGAACAAATTACAAAAACCAAAAAGGGGGGGGGGGAATGAGAATCAGCAATAAACAATAAACCACTCAATTACAAGCTCCTGACTTGGGACGAATGGGAATGTGGCGATGTTTAACATGTTTGAAGGCGCCAACCCTCCCCGAACCTTGGGACAGTGGCGTAACAGTACTACATAAGAACAAACTATAAAAATCAGTTGAAAAGGGCTTAACTCGTCAGATCAATACATACAAAGCAGAAACTCAGATCGGACGTATTTATACATCCCTAAAACAAAAAGGACACAAAGTATAGATCTGAGAGTATCCGCAGTTACTGACAGCTAGTTCAAAGCCAATAACTAATACAAAAAAGCATGTACATGTAACTAGGACTAAAATATCAATCAGTACACATCCAACTTCCCATGGATTTAGTGTAAAGACGTCATTCAGTCTTCCAGTCTTCAACCTAACCTGAGACAGTAGTGTAACATTACAACATAAAAATACACACTATAAAATATCAATTGAAATGGCTTAACTCGATCAAAAAGACATTTAAACAAAAACAAGTAAACATACATTGAACGAATAAGTTTGATCTATGACACAATATAAATACAATATTAAAACGTATGTGTCTATATAACATAGAACACAGGCAGTAATAAAAAAAAGATGTAGGAACAGTGTCAAAAAGACAACTCTTACCTGGGATAAAATGGCGTTAAATGAAACAACGTACACATGTAAATTTAAATATAATAATTTTGTTGCTAGGAGTACGGAAGTAAACATTTATTACAAAATTAATAATTAATAAAGTACAGAAGTGAAAATTTATCGTCATACTAAATACTTATCAAAGGTGGTACATATTTAGAATAGCGAGGCGAGAAATAACACAAAATAAGTAAACCCTGAATTACAGAAATGCACAACAAACTATCAACAGGTCAAACTGACACGAAAGTACGATTTGAGAGTACTCGCAGTTACTGAAAGCTAGTTAAAAGCCAAAAACAATTAACAATAAAAAAAAATCATGCATCAGAGACTAAAATCAATTAAAACACGTCCCAGGGATTTAGTGTTGTAACGCCATGGACAGTCAAAGAAGACATGACTTGT